TACATGCCCTTGACCGGAATCGAACCTGGGACCTTTCAGTCTGCAGGCCGACGCTCTATCCACTGAGCCAAACCGGTTTCGGCACATCCATTCATTCTTTTCCCTGCTTCTTCCACCAACCCCTCATGTGGTAGAAGGCTGCCCCACCCTGGTCCACGCAGCAGCCTGCACCCTGCAACTCATGGCCCGAGGCCCCTAACTGGGAATCCCAGTGCCAGGGCTCTGACAGCAGATCACGTTAAGGAGGACTCAGGGGTTTGACCGTGAGATCTGGCAGCTCATGGCCTCCCATTGCCCTGCAGAGCCTCAGACATCCTGAAGGTTGGGGCAGCCTGGGCCCGCCCCTCGGTGGAAGTGGCCGAGGCAAGGAGGCCCCAGCAGTGTGTGTGATGAGCCTGTGGCATCTGGAGCCACAGGAGGACAGACAGCAGGCTCTGTACTTGCTTTAAAATTACTTACTTTCCAGTTATACATGTAATACATGATTATTGAATAAAACTTGGAAAGTATAAGACTATATGAAGAAGACCCAAGTCACTCAATCTCACTACTTGGCAATAACTACCCGCCGTTGTATTTCACCTCTGCGTGTGGGTTCCCATGTGGAGTGCCTGGCCCATCGCCCCATGAGTGGGAACAAGGTCACATGCATAAGAAAACCCAAATCCCAGGGCCTCCAGGAGGAATCCACAATGGGATCCATACGCCCCTCTTTCACACGCCGTCACCTGGCAGGTCTCACCCGGTCCCTGTGGAAGGAGTCCCCACGCTTCTGCCTGAGGCCAGCCTCAGAGGACTCAGACGTGAACCCTAGCAAGCAGCCCGTGCATCCGTCTCAGAAAGACACTGGACGCTCCCCTGTCTCCCACCCACTTTCTCACCCAAGTGTCTGTGCAGGGTCCTCCCACCTCCCACCAAATGCTCTCCTGCAGCCTGAGCTCGGCCAGGCCTGCCTTCTGGCTCTTCACCTGCTCAGGGGCGAGACAGTCTCAGCTTAGGCTCAGCACGGGCCCCTGCTTCCAGCATCGACAGAGTGCATTTACATAACATGGCTGCTGACAACATAACTGTCTCCTGCTTTCCCCACTGGTTTTTCAGACTCAGCTCAGTTACATTTGCTTACCCCCCTCTGCTCTGCAGCAAATTCAATCACCAGAACATCGTGCGCTGCATCGGAGTGAGTCTGCAGGCCCTGCCCCGGTTCATCCTGCTGGAGCTCATGGCGGGAGGAGACCTCAAGTCCTTCCTCCGGGAGACCCGCCCTCGCCCGGTGAGTCTCCCCAGTGCTCGTGCCAGGAACAGAGCAGGGCAGCTGGGAAGCAACTCCTCGGGGGGCCCTGGGAGTCAGCCCCTGGGCTTGGATGTCAGGGAAAGGCCAGGAGAGAATGAACAAAAGTGGACAATGGCCCTGGGAGCTCATGCAAGGCCTGCGCAATGGATTCTCCAGTCTGGGTCCATTCGTATGACCTGCTGACTATGGACAGGCACAGAGAGGGACAGTCGTGCCAAACAGGTCGCTCACCCAACCAGCTATATCCCTTCACCCTGAACCCCACTATCATTTCGCAAATGGCAACGTCCTGACCTTATAGTTTGACTATCAAAACCAAGTACTGAAATATCTAGGAAGGTGCTGTGTGTGTTATAGTAAAAGGGCTAGAGACCTAGGTGGGTCCAGGAATGCCACACCTCGGCCCTGCTTGGCCATTACACAGCCTGTGACTTAGGGCAGACTACCCAATCTAACCTCCGTGTCTGCAAGGTAAAGTCCAAGGGCTGGACTGGGACATCTCGGACATGGTCCTAAACTATAAAACGCAGCACGCTGGGTGGGCCCGAAATCCAGCTACCCACTGTTGTCACTGCCAGGGTCTTTGGGAGGCCCCGGGCACCAGGAACTGGAGCAGAGCAGACCCTGAGCGAGGACCTGGCTTCTCAGAGGTGCCACTGGTCAGTACGGACTACAGGGAAGACTGCACCCTCCCCACCCCCTGGAAAACAGAAATCCAGACAGACACCTGCTACAGAAAGCCCAGGACTGAACATTTCGCTCTCAGGGCCTCCAAGTGGCGGCAGAAACCTTGGAAGGGCACACCTGCTCCAACCCCACCTCCAGTCAAGCTCGCTTAGAATAGCTTACCCTGTGGGGCCTCCACACTGTTCCTGGAGCCCCTGGGGGACCCACCTTGGCATTTAAGAATCCCATCGAATTCCTTGGAAAGTGAGTTTGTGTGCACCAGAGCACACCTGGCAGGAGGCTGTGGGCAGAAAGAAAGACAAGCCCATTTCATAACGGTCCTCATTACGTTATCATCCTCCTCCTCATAGCTTTCACGTTTCTCAGAACCACTCTGTGAAGTAAATAGCACCTTTCACAGCTGAGAAAACTGTGGCTCAGAGAGGGCCTCACAGGAAGTGGGAGAGCTGGGGCCGGAACTCAGGACTATGACTCCCGATTCACTGCTTGTCCCAACCCACTGTGCTCTGTATCCCAGTGCTCCCCTTTGGGAAGCTATGGACTGTCAAGGAGAGGTTGGGTCACTCAGAGCCAACCCTGTGAGCCATACGGGCATCTCTGCCAGGGTCTGAGCACCAACCTCAATGGCTTTTCCATCACCACCCACCCACACGGAGCCCCCAGCCCTGTGCCGAGATTCTCAGCGGAGCTGGCAGAGGTCAAACGGGGCACATGTGGCATGCACTTCGGGAAGAGGCACGCCTCTGGTTTCCCCACTGGGCATTCCTGAGGCTTGAGCAGGAAACGTATTGTGCACGCCACGGAGAGCTCGGGGATCTGTGCAGGGATTTGGGAGCCCATCGCTTGGCAAGTCCAAGATCCTGTACTTGGGCTTGCCCTGTGCACGTAAGGCAGGGCCTGATGTTACATGGGCAGAGAGTATCCCCTCCTGTCGTCTGCCCCGGAATGAAGCGTGACTCCTCTCACCTCCCCCGCCCACACTGTTCCTCCAGGGAGTCCTGGGGAGGCCCTGATCGGTGGCAGAGAAACTCCCAGCTGACATCTAGGTACATCCTCGTTCATGTGTAATCAACTACCCCCAATATTTATTGAACCACTGCAGTGTGCCACGCACTGTGCTGGTCCCGTGGAGGTGGCCGCTGAAGTCCCTGCCTCGGGGACCTCAGAGTTTACTTGGAGACGAGGTCAAACACACACAGAACAACAATACGAACAGGACACTGCGTGATGACAAGCTGCTGCAGACTTGGGGGTTTCGGAATTAAAAGCGACACCCAGACAGGATGCAGCCTTTAGAAAAGGCTCCCCCAGCTCCCCAGGCTGTGTGTTTGTGGTGGGGAGAGGGGGCTGCTCCCAGAGGCGGGCGGTCTCATTCGGAAGAGCTTGAGATTGCTCTTCAGCTGCCCAGCATTTTCCAAAAGCTTTCTCTTTTCAATCCACAGTTGGTCTGGACATCCTTGAAGAAAATTAATATTTTTAAATATTTTAAAACATTTAGAGGATTTTAAATACAACCTTATCCTCCTTGATTTTTCTCACAGCCTTGTTTGTAAGTTTGGGGATTCAGATGCCTATGAATATTGAGATAGAAAAATGTGCAGAATAACTGAACAGGGGCAAGGACACCTGCCCCTCCTGGCTTCCCATAGTTCGGGGTTCCCAGCCCGGCTGCACCGTTACTCACCTGGGGCAGCGTGAGACCTGCAAATGCTGCACCCACCTGGAGTGATTGGCTTCCTGGTGGGGCTGAGGCCCCGGCATCCCTATTGGTTTAAATCTTCCAGGTGATTTTCTGATGGGAAGCCAGGCCGGGACCTCGGGGGACAGCGAGTCCAGGTTTGGCCTCCTTGGGGGCACTTGAACTTGTGTTTCAGGTCTTCTCTCCCCCGCGAGCCTCTCACCAATGGATCATTTCTGTCTCCCCACAGAACCAGCCCTCCTCCCTGGCCATGCTGGACCTTCTGCACGTGGCCCGGGACATTGCCTGCGGCTGCCAGTACTTGGAGGAAAATCACTTCATCCACCGGTGAGTCCACACACCCTGCTCTCCTCCCGCCTTCTGCATCTTCCTTACCCGTCTCAAGCCCAGCTCTCCCTTCGAGTGCAATGATGGATCTCCCTCCAGTGAGGACTCAGCTTTCTTTGTCTTTACGGTGACAGCTTACTCTATCAGGGCTTCACTTGCCCCGTATGTAAAATGGGTATCAAAATACCCACCCAGCTGGAGACCCCGAGGAGCTGCTCCTAACCCCTGCCTGTGACTTAAGTGAAACCTTCAAGTCCTGTATCACTTGAACGCTCCCTCTCCTAAAAGCTGAGCTCCTTGCCCGGCCGTTGTGACTCTGTGATTGAGTGTCGACCTATGAACCAGGAAGTCATGGTTTGCTTCCCTGTCTGGGCACATGCCTGGTTGTGGGCTCAATTCCCAGTGTGGGGCGTACAGGATGCAGCTGATCAATGATTCTCTCTCGTCATTGATGTTTCTCTCTCTCTCCCTCCCCTCCCTCTCTGAAATCAATAAAAATATATAAATTAAATTAAATTAAATTAAATTAAATAGAAACTGAGCTCCTTAAGGCACGTTAAAGGAGTTCATAGTTTCACACACTTGACTATGAGTGCTCAAAGGCAAGGACCCTGTTTTATTCATCTTCGTATCCCTGACACTTAGTGAGGCACAAGGAATGTTTGTTGGATAAATTAATTTTTCTGAAATGAGCATAATGATTATTTGATTTACTTGTACACCTGACTTCTACTCCACCGGATCCTCGTGTTTCAATGGTGTTTGGGCTACGACCCAAGGCCACGGGCCATGCTGTAGGCATCAGAGCACGCAGATCTCTGTCCTGTGGCTGCGCGGGACTTTCTCAGCCAACAGCTTACTTCTGAAATCCGAAAAGTCCAAGAGATTGTCGTGAAGCATCCATCTTATATAAAAACTGCTGTTTGAAATTTTAACCCTGCATTTTGGCTTCTGTAATGCTTGCTGGCTTAAATAATAAGGAAAATAAGACCACTCCCATTCCAGAGAGGCCATAAACCTTTTCCAGACAAAGTTATCAGTGCTGGCACCAGGCCAAGCCTTTGGTTGAGGTCTCAAAGTCCCAGCACATAGGGCCATTTAAGAACTTGCAAAGGGAACCGGAAAAAAAAAACCCGTATTTGGGAGACAAAGAAGGTAAAATAGTATAAATATGGGAAACTTTGTGTGTGATTTCACCCACAATTTGAGAGACATTTTCCTCTGGGCCCGCGAGTAATAAATGTAACTCCATCTCTCTAAGCATTGCTTGGTTCTTCTCCGGTTTTTCTGTAACAGTCGGGCTCTTTGCAAAGCTCTTCCTAATGATTCCCTTCTAATTTCGTAAGTAACAGCCTGGTGAATTAACAATTATGTGTTAGCTCACGTCTCCAAAGGGGATAGGCATATTCCTAATAATTAGGATATGAAATACAAAGTAGAAAACGAGAGGTGCTGCCTGAGGCTAGAAATGGAAGAGCATGTGCATAGCAGGAAGCTCTGCCTTCTCCCTAATAAAAATGGGGAATTCAAGATCAAGGCATACACCCACCTGGCTGCCCAAGGTATTCCCAAAACCAGGCTGCAAACTCTCACACAGCCTTATCTTTTTGTCACGGCATCTCTGGTCTGCAGTTCTTCCTCTTGATTCTAAACCTTCCCAACCTCCTGTTCTCCTCCAAAGCCACACCCCCTGCTTCAGAGCGCAGGTCAGTCTGCCGTGTTGTTCTTGTCCTGTCTGTGTCCCCAGAACTTTGCCTGCATCTCAGCTCTTTACTGTCGCGTGGACATGACAAAGCTGTGCCCTTTGTGGAATTCGTCCTCGGTTACAGCCACCTTTGCATCGGTGTCTATGTCCTTTACGACTGGACCATCCGAGAGCGACCTGTACAGTTACCTTGGTGCCTTCAGATGTCCCCCTTTGCTTCTCCCCGAGAGCATCTCTGCTTTGTCGTCTCTTCTTGCAGCATCACCGAGCAGACACACTCCCTGGCTGAGGGATCCCATCCATCTTTCCTCCAACGCATTGAAACCTGCTTCCCTGGAGCCATGATACCTGGGACCATATCCAGGGCTCTGTTATTAGAGATAATAAGATAACAGGGCCCCATTCTCTCAGGATTTCCTTCGCCTCCGTATCTGTGAAGAGTTACTGAAAGTCAGGATTTGATCCCAGAGTAATAGCTTGTTGCTCCTTTTATCTTGTTTGAGAAATGAAATTGTCAGAGATAAATCAAGAATGTATCAGATGATCTGCTTTATAAGCAAAAGGCGACTTCAGGCAGAAATTGACTGTCTCAATCCAAGCTTTGCTTCTGCGGAGCTCGGTATTAGGAAAGCATCTTTTGCATCTCCAACGGGCTGCGAGGTCTGTGGCGCATGCCCACGAAAGGATCACCTCTCATTCTCTCTCCTCCACCCTTTGTCTGCCCCCGATTCCCAGGCTCCCATGCAAGGGCACCCCCTGAATTCAGAGTGAACGCCCCCACACACTCCCATTTTCTACTAGGTCTGTTTCCTTTGGTTGTAGTTTTTTACCACTTCACAAATTATGTGTCATTCTACCAATTCCTGGTGTGTTCTATGATACTATATTTACTTTCTTGCCATTAAATTCAAGATCACTTTTTGAAGCAACCATTCCACGCACATCAGCATAAAGACCTTTCTGGAGCCATAAATACTGTCCCTGGCCTACTTCGCTGTATTTCTCTTGAGAAGTAATGGCTATATATCCCACTATTTTTCTTCTTTTTGGTGTCATACATGTTATGCTTCTATGGTTTTATTAGGGCATTTTATGCACCATTGCTCCTCGAAATTCAACTTAAACCTCTGGGCCAGGTTCGTGGTATCAACAACATCTGTCTCCCTCCCTGTCCCATCGTTTGGGTTTCCTAAGCCACAATTTCCAATCCAGATCCTGTTTTTAAAACACGCTACAGTTGCCCTAACTGGTTTGGCTCGGTGGATAGAGCGTCGGCCTACGGACTGAAAGGACCCAGGTTCGATTCCGGTCAAGGGCATGTACCTTGGTTGTGGGCACATCCCCAGTAGGAGGTGTGCAGGAGGCAGCTGATCGATGTTTCTCTCTCATCAATGTTTCTAACTCTCTATCCCTCTCCCTTCCTCTCTGTAAAAAATCAATAAAATTAAAAAAAAAAAAAAACAACACTCTACAGTTGTTTATTCTGCACGAACTTCTCGACCAAAGATCAGGACCTACATGAAATCAGTCAGAAACATGCAAGCACCAGCTGTGGCCCCCAAGGAGTGCTACTTGTTTCTGCCCTGGACTTGTTAGGCCACCCCAGACTCCCCTGGCTGCACCCTGCTCCCACGGGAAGGCCAGGAGTGGGGGAGCCAGCAGTCAGTGAGGAGTGGCGAAGACTCTGGCTGTGCCTTAGGATGCTGCCGGCAGGTAGGCCATCTGGCGCTCAGTGGAGAAGAGAATGTGGCTCCAGAACCTGGAAGAAGTGACTCTTCAGCCACTGGCTAGGAGGCAGGCGGCTTAGCAAAGGCTTTGGAGGAGATCCTGGAGGGGAGAACCACCATGGCTGATGAACAAGGACAACTATAGATATGTGGGCATACCTTAACCTACTTGAATTTGGTATCATGGAAGACATGCTATTCCAGATGACGCCTTCAAACAGCTGGCAGAAACCAACCGGCAAGCTGTACACACAGTAGCTTCAGAATGCCTTGGTCCCTCTATTATCTGCTTTAGCTTAATTTGTTTAATGAAATGAAGATAATAATCGCACCCTTTATCTCATAGGGTTGTTGTGAGAATTAGATAGGAAGCACTTAGGACAATACTTAGTACATAGTAAAAGGCCAATAAATTCTAGTTTCTATTATGGTTATTTTCATATTATTGTCCTAATAAACATTTTCAATCATCTCCCTAAGCATTTCCCATTGCCCTTGAGTTCTGAGGCCTAGAATTGGCATGGCTATCTCTTTTATATGAAGTGTAACGCAGTAAAGGAAGCATAGAGCCGAGGCGGGAACTACTCACCCTTCCGACGAGAGGTGACAATCCTAGTGCTGAAACTACGCCTGTATTCTCCCAGGGGGAATAAGGAAATGCATTTCCCATTGATTTGTTCCCAGGGACATTGCTGCCAGGAACTGCCTCCTGACCTGTCCGGGCCCTGGAAGAGTAGCCAAGATTGGAGACTTCGGAATGGCCCGGGACATCTACAGGTGAGCAAAGACCGCGTCACCTTCTCAGCCCAGCCCTCCCGGGAACAAGATGTGGCTGCTTGTGTCCTAAATCATTGCTGGCACCTTGTCAGCTGGCTGCCTAAAATTTCATTACGTTCCTTTGCAGGGTGTGGGGAACCTTAATCAGTGCCCACACTCGACGGTCTAAATCCAGGTCACACTGCCCGCCATGACGGACACCAAGTTCTTCATTAGATCGTGTCCGGTTTCAGTGCTCTATCCTAACACATTCTGAGACACAGAATAACGGATACGCAATACGGAAAGAGTTTCTGTGTAAACTTTAACTCAGGAAGTCCAAGGGGCCTTAGTTTCCATGGCCAGGCAAGAGCACCCCGGAACTGGCCAGATGCCGGGCTCAGCTCATGGGCCGCCTTTACCCACACGAGGAGACACGGAGTAGAGCTCAAAGCCCATAGGTACCTAGCTCAGCTTCATTCTTTTTCCCATAATATTCTCAAGACTACATTTTAAAATGTAAAATTATTTTTAATTAAAAAAATACTTCTATTGCACTTTATCTCACGTTACTTCTTTATCTAACCATTTACAACAGTGACCTGCTCCGTGAGCTGAGCAAGCCACTCAGGGCGTGGTCACTAATCACGTCCCTAATCCAGAGAGAGGAGGGAGGTCATGCAGGGCTCTTACTGTTGGAGGGTTGGGGAGACCCCTGAGGCCTCCGTCAGAACTGGCTGCCATCTGCGAGGGAAGAAGGCCGAGGCCATGCTGTTGCCACAAGGTAGCAGCTCAGGGAAGACTCTGAATTGGCAATGTTCTTGACCACAGTCATCAGCACTGGTCTCCACCACGATACCTTGGTTTGCTGCACTCTTACCTTCTTTTGCTACCCAAAGTCTTGGAGTTCCCTCCCCTCCTTTCTCAGAGGACCCTGGGGTGCCTGTGGTTGACGACACTAATGTCGCAGCATGGCTTAGCAAGCCCTTCCCCTCCATCCTCGCTCTCACAGCCCCCCTCCCCAGACTCCAGGCTTCACCCCCAACCTGTCCCACGGCTCCCACACGTACTGCAATTTCAGCGTCAGGACGGTGTTCTGGGGGAGCTTCCTCACCACCTGAGCAGAACATCAGTTCTTCATTGTGTCATGGAGCCTCTGCACCCTCCCTCACTACATGCTACTCTGTACTGCGTGTTCTTGCGTCTGTTTCTCCCACTAAACCCTTTCCTTGGAAGACTTATTTATGTCCTCGCCACATGGCAGAGCACCTGATACACTCTAAACACTCAGTATTGTTTGTTGAAGTGATTAATGAAGCCAGGCAGCTGGTTGGAAAGCTGCCTCCCATGGTGTCAGGAGGAGCACAGGCCGAGGGTGGAGCTGGTGTCAAAGGCATAGAAGGTAATTGACTAGTTTTCATCAGTGACTTGCACTAATGACATCACCGATAAAAGATAATAAATTAACTCGTACCTGTTCCGCTGCCTGGCGTGCTTGTCACGTGCTTATGTTGAACTAGATGTGTGTGGCGCTAGGAAGGAGCCAAAGCGAGTAAGACAGCCCTGCTCTCCTGTGGCTCAGCAGGAGCAGGCTGCACCGACACGGCTGGAGTGATGTTGCTCATTGTGAGTTACAGCAAACACAGCCCAGCAGGGAGACCTCCCCGTCCTCTGTGGGTTCTCAGTCGTTGTGTAGATCTTGCCTTTTACGCCTCCGGGGGGCAGTTTTGTGTCTCATTAAATGACAACAACGTTCTTAACCAAATGATGTGTCCCCTGTTCTCCTGAACCACAGACCTCATTGGTTTCAGACCTTTCATGGTAGATTGTTGCACTTGCTCAAGTTGCCTGGAGCTTCCGCTCAGAGCCGTCTCAGAACCAAGTTCACTTTTTCCCCTCCTCCCCCACAGAGCGAGCTACTACCGAAAGGGCGGCTGTGCGATGCTGCCAGTGAAGTGGATGCCCCCAGAGGCCTTCATGGAAGGAATATTTACATCCAAAACAGACACGTGGTGAGTCTTTCTGCTGCCCTCCCCCAGGTCCCACGTGGGCCCTGTGTCGGGCAAGGGTCGGAAAAGCGTCAGCACCCCCGTCCACCGGCGGCCCTGGACGCTGGCACACATCCGCATCATTGGAAAGGCTCCTTAAAACACATCACTGGCCCCTCCCTGGGAGTTTGTGACTCAGATCTGAGAATCGGCATGTCTTCAGGTTCCCAGGGCGCTGATACTGCTGGCCGGGCACACACACGGAGAACACATGTAATTTCTTTTTTTCTTTTTTACATAACAAAGTTGGGTTTGAATTTATTCCAGGAGTGCAACATTGAGATGGGATCAGAAAATTGAGCAATAAAATTCTCCACATTAACAGAATAAAGGAGAAAAGGGGGGGCACTAAAGGGCTGCTGACCGTGGTGGTGAGACCCTTCCTACAGCTAAAGATAAGCTGGGGCATCGCTGTCCGCACATCAGCTCTGCAGACTCCGCCACCCGCAGGCCCGCAGCTGTGTGCTCCCAGCCCCGCACCCACCGTCCTGTTCTGCTTCTGTAACGCCACATGCCATGGGATCATGCAGAATTTCTCTCTCCGTGGCTGGCTGATTTCACTTAGCATAATGCCCTCCAGGTTCACCCAGGTTCTCAAAGAAGACAGAGTTCCTTCTCTTTAAGGATGAAAAATATCATACACACACACACACATACATACATACACGGATGAATAAAGAAAAGGTGATGTGTGTGGTTATATATACACATGTGTGTATATATTTATGTATTAATATATGTATTAGTATATATGTATTAGGATATTAATCTAGACACCTAGTAATTATTAATTATATCCTATATAATAAAAGGCCAGCCACCATAAGCGTAACCACCAGAACGATCAGAGACCAGAACCACCACTGCCCCTTGCAGGGCTGGCCCCACCCCCAAGCAAGTGGTTAGGGGCAATCAGGCAGGCAGGCAGAGTGGTTAGGGGCGATCAGGTAGGCAGGCCAGTGGTTAGGGGCAATCAGGTAGGCAGACGGCCCCTCGCAGGGCTGGCCCCACCCCCTAGCAAAGAAAGAGGGAGGCCCAGGCCACCTGCAGCAACTCTGTGGCAGGTGTGCCGCTGGCCAGCAATAGGCCCGCAGAGGGAGGCCCAGGCCAGCCAAGCCATTGCACCCCATGCCTGTTGCCTGCAGAGGGAGGCCACCAGTGGCAGGGGAGGTGGGGGACAGTGCTGCACAGATGGCAAGCAGTGGCAGCGGCAGGGGTGGGGCCAGCTGCCTGCAGCCGGGGGAAGGAAAGCCCCAATAGGCCCTGATCTCAGGCCAGGCCTAAGGACCCTACCCAAGGGGTCCCAGATTGTGAGAGGGTGCAGGCCGGGCTGAGGGACCCCCCCCCCCCTAGTGCACAAATTTCGTGCACAGGGCCTCTACTTGTTTAATAAAAAGGATAGATAGATAGATAGATAGATATCACCTTTTCTTTATCCTTTCATCCACTGACAGACACTTAGGTTGTTTCCATATCTTGGCTATTGTGAATAACACTCAGTGAACATGGAGTGCAGCCATCGCTTTGAAATACTGATTTGTTTCTTTGGCTAGCTCCCCAGAAGAGGGGTTGCTGGGTCAGAAGGTAGGATTGCTGGGTCTGTTTTTAGCTTTGGCTTATTATCCTCACCCGGTGGATCTCAAAGTGAGGTCTGTGGATCAGCAGCATCAGCACCACCTGGGAACTTGTTAGAAGCAAATTCTCAGCCACCACCTCCGGCTAAGGAAGCAGAAACTCTATGGGTGAGCCCAGCACTCGTGTTTTAACGAACCCCCAGGTGATTCCTGTGTGCACCAACATTAGAGCACCTCAACCTACCCCACCCAGATACAGAGAGAAATGCAGGTAATTAAGTCCTTATTCTGAACACATGCATGTCCTATTTCCCTGTGATCCTAGTTCTAAGTGTCGAGAGAGAGAGCATGGCACAAATAGACTTGAGCAAGGATGTTCATCTCAACATGGTTCACAATGAGAAAAAGCGACAACTGCCTAATGCCCCTCATATAGGGAATAAAAAAAATAAGCCGTGGTTTACGTATGTCACGGGGAGCTACTCAGCAGTATAAGAGCACACACTGCACCTCATATATCAACGTGGCTGAATTTCCAAAAGGGAGCAGGGTATTATTTAATTTTACAAACATTAAGTCCATAATACAGAGACGTTATTGTTTATGCTTTCACACATTGGGAAGAACACACATGGAAGGAGACCTGCTAACTTCAGGGAAGTGGGGAGAGAGCAGGAAAGGGTGGAGGGTGGGGCTTGCCTGTATCTATTTTATTTCTTCAAAAAGAGGGAGAACTGTCGCAAATAAAGCAAAATATCAACATCTAGAAACAGGTATCTATTATTTTTCCTTTTTGAAGTTTAGGTTGTTTCATAAAATGTCTTAAGAAGCAAATAAGTCACATAACTTCAGATGCTAATTAATGCTGGAGGCAGAGAAGCAGAGGGCCCGCGGAGCAGGCTGTTTCAGGGTGGGGTCAGGTGGAGGTGGAGGTGGGGGTGGGGTGGAGTAGGCTCCGGAGGACGGGCTTGCCCACACCTGAATGGCAGCGAGGCGCACCTGGGAGGTCTGGGGAAGGCTTTCCAGGCTGCGTGCCAGGGACAGGCACTAAAACGAGTCTTCTGGCGGAGAGGGATGGCAGGGCAGGCAGGAAGGCCTGGGGGCCCAGGCTCCGGATGCGGATTTTATTCTGAGCACAACGGGAGCCTCTGAAGAGTTGGAAGCAAGAGTGTGACACGATCACTTTAAAAAACGAAAGCACTTGCTGCCATTGAAACAGACAGGAGTAGGACAGGTGAGGAGGGGAAACCACTTGGAAAATACTGCTCATTTCTAGGTAAGAGGTGAGAGGGCTAGGCCGCGGGGTGGCAGGGGACGCGTCCAGAGTGGGTGGGTTCAAGCTCGGTCTCGAGTAGTTAGGGAACAGGACGCTGGCCGCTGGTGTGGAGTGGGGTGTGGGAAGGGAACAGGCCGCTGGCTGCTGGTGTGGAGTGGGGTGTGGGAAGGGGACAGGACGCTGACCGCTGGCGTGGAGTGGGGTGTGGGAAGGGAACAGGCTGCTGGCTGCTGGTGTGGAGTGGGGTGTGGGAAGGGGACAGGACGCTGACCGCTGGCGTGGAGTGGGGTGTGGGAAGGGAACAGGCTGCTGGCTGCTGGTGTGGAGTGGGGTGTGGGAAGGGGACAGGACGCTGACCGCTGGCGTGGAGTGGGGTGTGGGAAGGGAACAGGCTGCTGGCTGCTGGTGTGGAGTGGGGTGTGGGAAGGGGACAGGACGCTGACCGCTGGCGTGGAGTGGGGTGTGGGAAGGGAACAGGCTGCTGGCTGCTGGTGTGGAGTGGGGTGTGGGAAGGGGACAGGACGCTGACCGCTGGCGTGGAGTGGGGTGTGGGAAGGGAACAGGCTGCTGGCTGCTGGTGTGGAGTGGGGTGTGGGAAGGGGACAGGACGCTGACCGCTGGCGTGGAGTGGGGTGTGGGAAGGGAACAGGCTGCTGGCTGCTGGTGTGGAGTGGGGTGTGGGAAGGGGACAGGACGCTGACCGCTGGCGTGGAGTGGGGTGTGGGAAGGGAACAGGCTGCTGGCTGCTGGTGTGGAGTGGGGTGTGGGAAGGGGACAGGACGCTGACCGCTGGCGTGGAGTGGGGTGTGGGAAGGGAACAGGCTGCTGGCTGCTGGTGTGGAGTGGGGTGTGGGAAGGGGACAGGACGCTGACCGCTGGCGTGGAGTGGGGTGTGGGAAGGGGACAGGACGCTGACCGCTGGTGTGGAGTGGGGTGTGGGAAAGAGTGTGATGACCAAGGACAATGCCCACATCTGCAGCTTGAGCCAGTAAATGAGCGATGGTGCCAGAGCTGGAAAGAATGAAGCAGGAGCTGGTCATGCAGAGAGAACGCTGGGTGGTGGTGTCGGGCGCATTCTTGCGCGAGGCTGGCTGATGGTCAGAGTGACGCGTTTGGAAGTCAAGTGGAGAGTGTGTGTCAAGAATTTTTCAGTGTTGGTATTCTTCTGATCTAGTCATTTCATTAGAATTATCCTAGAACTTACTAGGTTATTCTCATACTAAATTCAAGGAATTTATCCTAAGCAAATTGTCCTTTTAAAAAAAAATGCAAAGATATTCATCATAGTATTTTAAATATTTAAAAAATTTTAAGTGATAAGGCAAATATGACAAAACTACTCAGTGGGAATTTTTACAGCCATTTGCAATTCTATTTACAAAATGTTTTTTTTTAATATATTTTATTGATTTTTTACAGAGAGGAAGGGAGAGAGATAGAGTTAGAAACATCGATGAGAGAGAAACATCGATCAGCTGCCTCCTGCACACCTCCTACTGGGGATGTGCCCGCAACCCAGGTACATGCCCTTGACCGGAATCGAACCTGGGACCTTTCAGTCCGCAGGCCAACACTCTATCCACTGAGCCAAACCGGTTTCGGCCAAAATGTTTTTATTAGCATGGAAAATGTTATGCTATAATGGAATTGAAAAAAATCAAGGTTCAGAAGGCTCTAGGCTTGTTTGGTTCAGTGGATAGAGCGTCGGCCTGCAGAACAAAGGGTCCCGGGTCTGTTTCCGGTGAAGGGCACGTACCTTGGTTGCAGGCTCCTCCCCGGCCCAGGCCCTGGTTGGGGCTCATGCAGGAGGCAACCGATCCATGTGTTTCTCTCATATGGATGTTTCTCTCTGTCTTTCCCTCTCTCTTCTACTCTCCCTAAAAATCAATGGAAAAATATCCTCGAGTGAGGATTAACAAAAAAAAAAATCTAAGCACAGAAACTTGACTAGAACATAAAACAACATGCTAATAATGGTCTTTTTACGGAGCATGGCACGTGGCTTTCTCATCTTTCCATATTAACAATTCTCTGTTGTGGAACATGTGTAATAAAAAAAGTTAAAATTTTACATGTGTGTATGTACATGTGTGTGTGTCTGTCTGTGTGTCTGTCCATATGTGTATCTATGCATGTATCCATGTGTGCACACGTGTGCATGTGTGTGTATCCACATCCGTGTCTCCTGTCCTGTGCGCAGGTCCTTCGGAGTGCTGCTGTGGGAAATATTCTCTCTTGGATACATGCCGTACCCCAGCAAGAGCAACCAGGAGGTCCTGGAGTTCGTCACCAGCGGAGGACGGATGGACCCCCCGAAGAACTGCCCCGGGCCTGTGTACGACTCTGTTAGGGACATTTCTGCAAGTTACTAAGCACAGTTCTCCTTTTCAGAAAGCACCTGCAGCCCCATGTGCTTTGTGAAGGTGGAAGGGCAGGTGGCTGGCCTCCCTTAATGCGCCCGAGATAGGAACATGTCTGTGACTCCAGTGGGATGGGTTAGTCTTCCGGCCCCAAAAGCAGTAACTTCAACCCCAAAGAGATGTCCTTTGGCTGGCGGGAGGCCATGGGCTCACCAAGCTCACACTCCTCAGGAATGTGTGTCCTGGCCTCCACCCCTTCTACCCAACACCATTGTACCTGAGTCCCCTAAAAACAGGGTGGGGCAAAAGTGGGTTTATGTTTGTTCATAAGAATAACCTCTGTGCTTGGCATGCTCGAAACTGTAAACCTACTTTTGCCCATTCCCCGCATTTTCTGTGTCCTGTCTGGCACCCCTCACCTGCTAGCCACAAGCAAGGCAGATGGGCAATGTAATCAGAATATTCCTCCCAGAGGTGGCTTTAACTCAGGAATGGATGAGAGGGCCGTGTTTAATGGGAACACAGGATGGTTGTGTTCATGGGCCTTGGTCACGATTCCTTGGCCTATCAGCAGAGGGCAGCATATGCCAACCACATGGGACCTGGGGTTACCACCTTCAAAGGCAGGGCCACCCCCACCCCCCCATCCCCACCCCCCAATTAGAAAGGCGTGGGGAGAAGAAATGTACGTTTCATCCTGTTTCTCCTGGTTTTAAGGAATGTGCTGATCCTTCTTTCAGATACAGGATAATGACCCAGTGCTGGCAGCACCAGCCCGAGGACAGGCCCAACTTCGCCACCATCCTGGAGAGGATCGAATACTGCACGCAGGTACAGACATGCCCCCTGGTCAGCAAGTTTTCATGACGGCAGATGCCGAAACGTGAAATAAAAGTTAAACCAGCCAGAAGATGTGAGTTAGGATCATGAGGATGAATGTTAGTTATCTATAAAGTAAAATGATGGGGCCCTCAGCTTGCAAGTTTTATAGTTAATACCAGTAGCTGCTGTTTTCTTCAGCAGCACGTGACATGTGGCTACCACTCAATAGGGAATCAATCCAATTCACCAGTGTAACTAAATTCCCACCAGGCACCTCATGTTTTATTGAAGAAAACTGGATCTGCAGGGAAGTATGGAAAACCCCTGCTCTCCAACAGTGTATAGCCTCTTAAAAACAGATGTCTCTATAGGAGCACATTTTAAAATATATACCTTTATTGATTTCAGAGAGGAAGCGAGAGGGAGAGATAGAAACATCAATGATGAGAGAGAATCATGGATTGGCTGCCTCCTGCACGCCCCCCACTGGAGATCGAGCCCTCAACCCCAGCATGTGCCCTGACCGGGAAGTGAACCAAGGCCTCCTGCCTGGTTCATGGGTCGACGCTCAACCACTGAGCCACACCGGCTGGGCTGTCTGAGCACATGTTGAATGACTCACTATAGACATCAATAATTAACAGAGGAACTAAAATATAAATGAGAATCAGAAGGTAGTTATTTTTTATTCTTAAACTCTTTACTGATGAATACTAGATCCATGTGCTTTCTGTTAAACTGCAGTCATGGTTGTCCCAAATTGCATAAAGTATTAAAGACTTAAATTTCCCCAAGTTTAAATTTCCTCCCACAAATTTTTCTCAAATCTCTGGCAACTGCTTTTGCTTTTCTCTATTACATTCCATGGCCATAAATATGATCTGTAGACGAAAATAGCACAGAGTTGGTGTGTGAATGGTTTTCCTCGCAGCGCTTCGGCATTTGCCGGGGTTCACAAAGGGCCCGTCACACCCAGACTGGAGAGCCACTGCTTTGTGACATCTGACGTGTAACAATATGAAAAATATAGTCATGCATCACCCACCCAAATATGAGGAGAGCGGGAGGCAGCCAGGAAGAGATAAACCTTGTAAACCAACATGGGACGGTGTCTCCTCCCTCCCCACCCCCTTGCCCCATCTCACACACACAAACCTGGAGTCAGACACAGAGAGTTCTCTTTTTAGAAAGATTTTATTGGGAAGAGACTGACTAGAATAATTTTTTAAACTAGTTTTTAAGTTTTTAATCCACGAATCTGCAAGATTTGCCCAATAGTGGTCTCTGCAAAGCCTTTCCTGCCCCACCCCTGCCTGGGCAGTTGGGTGCTTCCAGCACCCTGCACGGCTTCTATCCCAGGGCTTATCCGGCACTTGTCAAGGGTGAGGAGGGCTTCCCATTGGCTGCTTTTAAAAAAAAAATGTTTTTTTATTGATTTTTAGAGCAAGAGGAAGGCAGAGGGAGAGAGAGAAACATCGATGAGGGAGAAACACCATCATCCATCGGCTGCCTCCTAGACGCCCCCTGCTGGGGATCGAACCAGTGACCTCTTGGTGGACGGTTGATGCTCAACCATGAGCTACACTGGCCAGGCTCCCATTGGTTTCTTATTCCCCAGTGCCTGTACATTAACATATTCCCAATAAACATTGAATGGTTTCCTCTTCAGGAAAGTAAGTGTGGGTGAGATCATGGCTCAGGTATCTTCCAGATCCAACATTTCGTGTCTGTGATTGAGTTTTAATCAGTTCGTTTCTCCTGCCTGTAGGATCCAGATGTGATCAACACGGCTTTGCCAATAGAATACGGCCCACTCGTGGAGGAGGAGGAGAAAGTGCCCGTGAGGCCCAAAGACCATGAGGGAGTCCCTCCTCTCTTAGTTTCTCCCCCAGCAGGGAAAGGGGGGGACAGGCAGGACCCAGCCGCCCTGGCCCCCCTGCCCTCCACTTCCTCGGGCAAGGCGTTGAGGAAGCCACCGGCGCCAGAGGTCAACGTTCCAGTCGCCAGAGGGCCGGCCGTGGGAGGGGGACACGTTAACATGGCATTCGCTCAGTCGAACCCGCCATCCGAGCTGCACAAAGTCCAGCGATCCCGAAACAAGCCAACCAGCCTGTGGAACCCAACCTACGGCTCGTGGTTCACAGAGAAGCCTGCCAGGAAGGCCCGCCCTCCAGCACAGAAGGAACCCGAGAGGGGAGGCCCGGGGCCCGGGGGCCCCGGCCCGCCCAGCGCTGCAGCGGGCAGAGTCCCCAGGGCCTCCCTGCTCCTGGAGCCGTCCTCGCTGACCGCCAGCGTGAAGGAAGTGCCCCTGTTCAGGCTGCGTCACTTCCCGTGTGGCACTGTCAACTACGGCTACCAGCAGCAGGGCCTGCCCCTAGAGGCCACCACCCCCGGGGCCAGTCACTATGAGGACACGGCCCTCCAAAGCCAGCCTGGGCCCTGAGCCTGGCCCTCGCTTCTTTTCCTGGGGAACCCTGAGCCCATGGAGGGGGGCGGGCCACGGCTCCTCCACAAGCCAGACCAAACGCCACTTTTCCTTTCGTGCCAACTTGTTTTGAAGAGCCACATCAAAGCTGTATTTTCCAAATGCTTTCGAGAGGTTTTGAGCATGGGTTCATCCTATCATTTCAAAAGAAAAACATGTCATACAGACAAGTGGGAGATACAAGGCCCGGATTTGGCTGCCTAAGGTTGTCGTGTGCGGCTGAGGCCCACGTCCTCGGGCCTCCACAGCTGGGGGCAGTCAGAGGAGCTGCTCACTCACGAGGCCCGCACCTGGAGCCAGGGATGCGCCCTAACCTGGGTGCTGTGGACTGGACCACGGGGGAGGGAGGGGGGCCAAAGAGGAGCTGTGTGTGACGAGTCAGCATGGGAAGGACATTCTCTACTTGGAAAAGGAAATTCATGGACAAGTAACTGAAGCATCACGTGTCAGATGACAGACACTTTCTATCATGCTACTCCTTGATGATGGTAAAATGTGATAGTGACGGAGGTTTAGTGAAAACGTGCATGTTCTCACCTGCAGGGGTTCCTTCGAGTGGTCGAGCCCAGCGAGACACGCTCAGCATTCTATCAATATACCTCATGCCTTAAGAAAACCTCCTCCCAAAGTGAGCAACTGATGTGAGGTTTCCCACTGGACTAAAGATCTAAATCAATTACTTTAAAACTTCCCACTAAAATAAACTCTGATCATTTAAAAATAAAAATTTGAAGCAGCTGTGACACATCGAAGCATAGAAACACATCCCTTCTCATGGGCTCATGTCAGTCCGCCTGGGCCAAAACCTTCTGCGTTTGGTCATGAACGCTGCCGGGCTGGAGTTCCTACGGGTGACAGGCAGGTCTTTGGAGTAAAGGTCCTCGGGTGGCCTGAGAGGTGCTCCTGCAGGACCAGCATCCTTCCTCCCCGTGTTCACCTCCTTTTCTCTCCTGGTCATGTGACCCCAGCACACATGGGAGCAGAGTTGCTGAAATACAGCATCATCTGCATGGCTATCAAATGCAGACTGAAAGCAAGAATTTCTCCTAGGGGGGCAGTGAGTGCAGGAATTAAGGGACACCGAGTGCTGAGGGTGACCACGCATGTCACAAAGTAGGGGTTCTGAGCTTGGTTTTCACAGATAATTTATCTCCACAAAAATATTACACACGCACTTATGCAGCAATGCTTTGCTTTACCAGGAAGCTCGGATCCCATTCTTTCTGTCTGCTCTGCCTCCATCCTCTTGCCCAGGTCCTCTCCTGGTCCTAGCTGTGCCAAAGCCTTGCTCTGGGAGGAAAGCCTTGTTACCTGCGGGACTCTGAGCATTCCCAGCAAAAGCACTGTGTACACACCACCTTCCCGACCTCCAGGTCCACCCGCATCGGGAGCATCGCCTTGGACGTGGGAAAGCCATTCTGTTCTGACAGCACCAGGCCGCGTTCACGCCTCCCACACAGACCCCTGGCCCGGCCAGCGGTTCTGTGCATCGGCAGACGCGCTGACCACTTCTCCTTACCTTCTTAACTACATGTTTTCATCGGGCATAATGAACTCATCTCTAAATAACCATATCAGGAACGTTTTGGCTCATGCCAGGCGCAAAAGTAAATAGTCTAATTATGTCAACATCCACGTAGTTCATAAACCACCTGAAGGGGCCAAGAATCACGCTTGGAGAACCATGCTCCCGAGGGATGGCGGCAGAGGAACGCCAAAAACTGAACATGTCACTTCGCATCTGTAACCAGTGACCAATTAAACGGGGAGCATGCACACGCCTCCGCAGCCGACTCTTTATTGCTGTTTTTCGGGGGGGAGGGCCGGGGGGAGGGAGGGACCTTACCCCTTTCTCTTCTTAAAAACTACAAATCATTACATTTTCAGATGATGCCCTACCACAATAGTCACATCAAGTTCAAATGACAGTCAAGTCTTCAAAGCCTGTACACACAGCTAAGTAAACGACTCCACACTGAGACACGACCGCCTCACGGCGTCTCATTGAACTCGCTGTAGGCCGAGGTATCAGCATCGGCACGGCATTAATCCGGACCCGTGTCCCCCCGGCACCGCCCAGCCATGTGGCCACGGCGATTCACACAGAGGCTGTGATGCTCATGTTAACTATGGGCAGGCGCAAGTCAAGTTTGCAGAGACCACGTGAATTAAACCATAAGCCAGAACAATTACTTCCATCCCATGTCTATAAAGAAGCTCATCAGAGTTCACAACCATTCCGCTGGGAAACTGGCTGTTAGTGAGGAATGACCAGGTAATTGAATGGGGCACCCAAAATGAGAGCAAATCGAAACAGCAGGGATAGACTTTCTTTTCTTAGCACCATCTTCTTAGTAGTCGAAAGTTTGGAATGTCCTCTCCCATCAGGGTGAGTTCTGGCTCCCCTGGGGTCGCTGGGCCAGCCTGCACCTCAGTGTCTCCACAAACAAAACCGGACAGTGGCCCCTGCCCCCCGGCTCCAGGAGATTATAAACTGGGGGTCAGCACTGCACTCCTCTTACGCCTCTTGAATTGCCCAGTGATTTGGGGCTGGGTGGGGGGGAGGGGAGCTGCAGAAGCCAGAGTCTGTGCCCCTGCCCCCAAGCACTGCAGCTCTGGGGGTTCCTGTGCCCACACCCCTGCCCGCCAGCATCCCTGGCTCCTCATCTGTCCCTTGTTTAATGACAGTAGCAAGAACCCTACCGGAACCAAGTCCTTTTCGGCTCAAAGCATGAATGTAAAACTGTCACGCTTAGGACTGAGTGTTAAAGCAAGCATCACAGAAAGGAAGAGTTTTAGTCAATTGAGTAATCCTTTTTTAAAAATTCCTGGCATCTCCATCTGATAGTAAACTCGATAGCTCTAAGATGTTTTCTGTAACTGCAGATTAACTTTATCCCACTCAGAAAATCTAAGTAATCAGGCTATTTTAATAGATTTCCCTCAGTAATAGCAGGATTAAAATTCATATGAGATGAGCTTTACAGACTAACACAGATGCCTATGGATTCAGACTACTCAATAACAGACTCCCACAACAAGATTCATAAAATTGTCTGGAGTGTTGTCAATCTGTCTTTAGCGATTTTTTAAGTGGGTCCCCAAAGAACATACAATTTGACTTTGCCAATTTCATCATAGCAGATGGCTCCCCGTGTTGTGTGAACAGACAAAACAAAAACGAGCATTTCTGTCATCCTCCACAAGACGCCCTAAAACAAAAACAACTACCGAGAAAAACAGTGAGGCGTCTGTGTTAAAATGCTGTTTTCATTTGGTAGCCTGAAGCAGGTGTATTTAACTTTCAAGGCACTCCTCATGTGCGAAGCTATTTTTAGCTCTAGATTAACAGCTTTAAAACGTTGGAAGAGCTCAGAGTGAGCACAGACTATTATTACTGACAACTGAGAGGCGGGAGGAACCTGAACCACAAACCAAAGCCACGACTGTCCTCTCCTGGGGGCTGAGCAACGGTCAAACCAGTGCTGCCCGCCACGGACAGGCGCGTGGCCAGGCTCACCTCAGAAAACTCCAGGGACCCGCGTCTGTTCGCCCCCTGTCCGCAGACCTACGGCCCACTGCCTCCTAAACAGTTATCCGCCCTCACTGAAATCAGCAGGCGCCTACCAGCTGGTTGTAGTCTTAGCAAATGAACTCTCACTAAGCCTTAGCAACCAATGTATCAGTGCCCCAAGGATATTTACATGTTAAGAAAGGCCATTTTCCAATAGAGATGAGTAGCAGACTGATAAGACTTCACATGAGTATAGTATTTTGGGTGGTTTAACACCCATCAGGTACCTGAGAAACAGCAAGCAGACTGGACAGGAGTGAAAGGACCCAGGTAGTAGACTGCAATTATCTGTGGAGTGGGGCGGGAAATAGGTTTACAGTTGTTCATAGGGAAAATAATATAATAAATAATCATTCAAGAATAAACTGTGTTTCCCGTACTCACAGCTGTAAACCTGCTTTTGCCCCACCCTGTGTGTGACTCAAGCCAGTTAAACTCCTACTCTCTCATTTAAAAACATGAGCAGTTTGGTCTCAAAGGCCCCTTCCAACTCCAAAGTCTGGGATTCTGCAAGCCTTCTCCTCAGAGAACGTAAATTCCATCCATCCGAAAG